TACTCCTGTTCACGTTTTTACTAGTTATACCTTTTTGCTTGTGGACTTATGTTGTACCTGTGTTTTCTGGCTGTTCCTGGACTTTGCCACCTCTGGAACTTTATGGGACAATTGGATTATTGTTTGGTTATCACCTGTTGCTAAATCATTTTGGATTATATATCTTCCTTTTCAATTCCTGTGTTTTAATATGCTTTTTATGTGTTTTACGATAAACAGTTTGCATATGTTCCTGGACTCTTGTGTGTTGTGGTGGTCATGGGTGTTTCTAGGCCTGGAGTGCAACAATTACTTGCAGATCAGTGGAATGGGTTTCCAATTAAACGGTCTCAACAAACATTAGAAATTCCTAAAATCTTCCATAAGCTTCCCAGTCAGTTTTTCCCTACTGATGGCGTTTTGGGAATTGAACTAGCTTGGTTTTGAAGTAATCCATACTGAAATGTAAAATATTCTTTCTTTACACCAGCGAGATCTGCATTTATAAGTGACAAATTTACTCTCGGATGCCGCAGATTACGCATTCTCCCTTCAGAAGCTGCATATATCAAATTGTAAGAAAATGAGTGTTATCAGCAACTGCTTTCAAAGTTGGTGCCTTGCTTGAAATCCTGAATGCCTCCCTAATTGCGCGCTTCGCGACAAAGGCTGGCTTTTAAGTTACGGAGAATACAGCTTTAAATGCACGCCAAAGCTACAGAGCTGCCGGGCCTTCTGTGATGAGAGTTTGGTGTCTCAGTTAATTATCCTGCCTTCATTCCTTGAAGAACAGCTAGAAGGAAGGAAGGAAGGAAGGAAGGAAGGAAGGAAGGAAGGAAGGAGGGAGGGAGGGAGGGAGGGAGGGAGGGAGGGAAGGAAGGAAGGAAGGAAGGAAGGAAGGAAGGAAGGAAGGAAGGAAGGAAGGAAGTCTTCCCAGGCATGTGAGCACCAAAACATGAGCCATGGAGGCTTGTTTTGACCCCTTCCAGGTACACCTGCAGGAGCATATTTGAAGCTCTCAATGCATGCCCTCCAATATTTCACAGAGGAAAACACATGTGGCCATTCAACATCCAAGTGTGATTGTTGGTTAAAATCAGAATTAAAGATTCAGCTGTGCACTAACGACGCTCCATGCAGTCATGCCGGCCACATGACCTTGGAGGTGTCTACAGACAATGCTGGCTCTTCGGCTTAGAAATGGAGATGAGCACCACACCCCAGAGTCAGACATGACTGGACTTAATGTCAGGGGACTACCTTTTACCTGTGCACTAATCTGTTTTAGTGAACCTGGTCAACCCCATTTTGATATCAGCTAACATCTTCTCATGGTTTGTAATGTTTGCTGATCGCTGTCATTTGTATTATGATAGAAAATGCTGTAACTGCACCATTCTGTGCCCAGGGCCAACAACCAGAAGTTATGGTTCCAATGTCAGACTCTGAGAAACATCCTAATCAATAACAAACAAGCTCAGGATACATTGTACTGGCCACACAGACTTTAGAGCAGGGGTACTCAAACTAAGGCCCGAGGGCTGAATACAGCCCTCCAAGGTTATTTACCCAGCCCTCGCTCAGGGTCAACCCAAGTCTGAAACGACTTGAAAGCACACAACAACAACAACCCTATCTCATCAGCCAAAAGCAGGCCAACACTTCCCATTAAAATACTAGTAAGTTTATTTTTGTTAAAATTGTTCTTCATTTTAATTGTTGTATTGCGGGATTGTTGGGTATCAGCTGCATTAAGATCACTCTGACCAAAAGGTCATGAGTTCGAAGCCAGCCTGGGTTGGAGTGGGCTTCCAACCAATTGTGTAGCCTGTTGTCGACCTTTGCAACCCGAAAGACAGTTGCATCTGTCAAGTAGGAAAATTAGGTACCGCCTTAAAGTGTGGGGAGGCTAAATTAACTAATTTATGAGGCCATAAAGAAGACTCCAGCAAAGCACTCCAGCAAAGGCATGCGGGGAATGCGGAAGTACTTCATCAGTGTCGCAGATGGACAATGGAAGCAACTGTTCCCCTGGCGGCCAGAAAAAGTTAAATAGCCTCTGTGTATGTCTGTATACATTGTATGTCAAATTGGCATTGAATGTTTGCCATATATGTGTACATTGTAATCCGCCCTGAGTCCCCTGCGGGGTGAGAAGGGTGGAATATAAATACTGTAAATAAATAAATGTTTTTTTGCACTACAAATAAAACATGTGCAGTGTGCATAGGAATTAATTCATGTTTTTTCCCCAAATTATAATCCGGTCTTCCAACAGTATGAGGGACTGTGACCTGGTCCTCTGTTTAAAAAGTTTGAGGACCCCTGCTTTAGAGTATTGCCACTTATGCATTAAGTACAGAAAAACAGTTTTGTTCATGAGTACTTTGTCTTTGTCTGCTTAATTCTGAATTCCTATAAAATACTAATGCTTGGAATAAACTTTATCCTAGGACTCATCCAAGCAGTCCCTATATCCCAGGATCTGATCTCAGTTTTTCTGTTTATCCCAGATTATCTGGCAGTGTGGACTCATATAATCCAGTTTAAAGAAGAAAACCTGGAATCCGATCCTGGGATTTAGCGCTTATCTGGTATTAGGAAAACTAAAATAATAAAGCAGAGCATCCAAAAACAAACAGGATACAAAACTTGAGCATCAGCTCATTAGTGAACAGAGTGCCTTGTGATGTGGCTGTAAAGAATTCAGAGCTTAGGAGGTAAACATGCAGTCTAATCTTTAAAAATCACAAAAGGGCTGTCAATTAGTGCTGTGAGTAGGGGCCCTTCCAGACAGGCCCTATATCCCAGGATCTGTTCCCAGGTTTTCTGATTTAAACTGGATTATATGAATCCACACTGCCAGATAATCTGAGATAAACAGAAAACTTGGGATCAGATCCTGAGATATAGGGCCGGTCCGGAAGGGCCCTCTGTTGGACTGAACATAGAGGATTCTTTGGCCAAAGTTGTAGTTAATTGTAACTTTGCCTTCCTGCCGAGTTTCAGGTTTCATCCCAGCTCCATGTCCTACCTGGGAGGATATTGTGAGGATAATATTTCAGTCCTAACAACATGGTCAAGATGGCAAAAGTTATTAACGAATGAGGAAGAACATACAAGCTGTATGGGACTGAAGCTGCTTGCTTTTTCCTGAACCTACTGGGAAGGACAAAATTCTGACTCCACCCATCCTTCCCGCCTGTTCAATTAATTGAGTGCAAGCTATTTTTGCACCATTGCAGGAACGGAAGTAAACTGAGAACAAGGGAAAAAGTGGGAAGAGAAGGGAGAAACTGGGACATTTTAAAAGTAGCTGAAAAATGGGATAGCAAAGAAGCGAAAAAATCAGTGCAAGTAAAATTAAACATGAAAGGAGACAAATGCAAATGCGTTCAAATTGCCAACAGAACAAAATTTAAGAGAGAGGAGAGAGTCAGGTAGGAAAACATTCTTAGCTCATTGAATACCGGCTATTTTTTGGTGGTGGGAGACAATATCATATGAGAGAGTATATGTTTTCTAAATATTTTATATACTCTCCAGTTCTTAGGGTTCAACAGTGAGTGAACTTCTGAACCCCTGTGAAGGCATTGATATCTTTGGCCCATCCTCTGTTTGGATATCAGCAAGCATGCCAATGCATTCAATCAAGAAACAGCTTCCTAAGTTCTACAGATATATTCACAGGAACACCTCAGCAAACGAGAGTCCAAAAGTGGCAGACTGAAACCCAGCACCTCAATTAGTGGCTGAAACCGGATGATAAATTCCCTTCTGGACACACAGAAGCGTGGACAACCTGGAAGGTGCTGAACAAACTGCACTCTGGCACCACAAGATACAGAGCTAACCTTAAGAAATAGGGCTACAAAGTAGAGACCACGACATGTGAATGCGGAGAAGAGCAAACTACAGATCACTTACTTCAGTGCAATCTGAGCCCTGCCACATGCACAATGGAGGACCTTCTCACAGCAACACCAGAGGCACTCCAAGTGGCCAGATTCTGCTCAAAGGACATTTAGCATAATGCCAAGTTCTTTTTTGAAAATTTTGTTTGTGTTTTGAAATGCATTTTAACTGTACCTTCTGACACAATAAATAAATAAGTGGCAGTGAGTGATACAATGGAAGTAGCTGTCCAAGGTTCAAAGAAATGCAGAAACATCTCTAACAAAAATACAAACCCCTCCAACAGTTCGATTTGAAATGGGACTGGGGAGATTAAAGTCCAACATGAGGTATAACAAAACGAGTATATTACAAAAAAAAATTGCTTTGGAATGTAAAACTAGGATTGAAAAGGAAAATCAGAATACATTGAGCTGAGAGGTCAAATGCTATGCTTGGAATTTGGGACATGAGATGCTTTCCAAGTAGGAAAGTAATATATTTGTTGCAGATCAGGACAAATGCAGCCTCTCGGTTTGGCAGCAGTCTATCCCTGATTGTCAGATGCTGAAAAGGAGTAAAAGGAGCATGGCTCTGCCCAGTTTTGTCCTCTTAGTGGATTTTTAACCGATGGCATATTGAAAACAAGTTTTCAAACACATGGCCTGTTGAAAACTGGCACTGAATTATTGCCATAGTTTGTAAGCCACCATTTACAGTAAATAAAGTACACTAAGTAAATAAATAAGTTGCTAAACAAGGTGGGAGAAGCCAATAAGTTGCTAAACCAGGTGGGAGAAATCTTGGAATAAGTTTCCCAACCATGCTGGCTGGCGGCATCCCTGGAGTTGCATTCCAACAAACAAACAAACAAACAAACAAACAAATAGCAACTCTCCAAAGCACCGACTTCTACTATAGACATTCGCTCGGCTTTTCCTTTTCTCATTATTTTATCCATGCCAATTACTAGAGAAAACTACCCATTAGCCATTGCTCCAAAGTCACCCCGAACTGTCAGATGACTCCATCAGTTTAGACAAAATAATGCCAAGATAATAATACACCCAAACATTAGTAAGAGACTATTTCAGTTAAGTAGCAATAGCGATTTAGTAAAGATTTACCTTCCTCATTGATGTGCTTCCTTGACGCTCGACAGCAGAACTCACATACCTAGAGAGAAATGTTTTGGGGAGAAAAAGGGGAAAGAGTTCATATCAGCACACAAATATCATCTAAAAGGATAATATGGTTTATACAGCTCCCGGTGACAGCCTGAGGATTTACCTGTCTGCTTTCTGGGACTTATTCACGCCATATACCCCTCTTATACACAGAAAAGGGTCAAAGAATTGGAGGTAGATCCGAATCCAGCTCGGCGACAAAACAGGAAAACAGCTTCCCTTGTAAAGAGCGCTGCTCAAGTCTTTGGAGTTATTTAAAATCAAGCTTTGTCATTTGGGTCGGTAAAGGAGATCTGGAAATCACATAACTGTCTTTCTAGACAAGGCTGCCTTAAAACAAAAGGGAAAAGAAAGCCCAGGTGGGGAACCAGCCTTGGAAAATGTAACGGGTACATGGGAAAGCATCTGCTTTGACAATCCTCAAAGCTGATTAGCTGATCTCTATTAATGCAGGCATAAGGCCTGGGGGGTAGGGAATGGGGAGGTGGAAAACAATCGCCTCTAGGATGATCGGAAGGGAACACGGCATTCTTAGCAGTCCTGGGAGCTGCCTTATATCTCATGTCACCAGGGCATTGGACTCAGTAGTGTTTAGACTGGTTGGCAGAGGCTCTCTTGGGTCCCAAGGCCAGGCGACTTGCCCAATTGGAAATATCAGTAATTCACATACAACACCTGTGCTCTACCATTGTGCTTTGGACCTTTCCTTATCCATTCTCTTCATTTATCACCCTATGGATCTGTTCTGCAGCTCTCTATGCCTTCAAGTTGGCTTATGGAGACCCCAGAGATTTCACAAGGCAAGAAAGTGCTCAAAGGTACAAATAGTTGAGAAGTTTGGAAACATCAGTGCACACAACATAGATTTGGTATTTATAAGAAGCTCCCAAACAATAGAGTTGTGCACGGAATTCATTCCTACTGTTTCTTTTATGTCTTCCATTTCTTTGGGAGGATGAAATGGGAAGCCCCCTCCTTGCACAAAAATCTGCTCAACACAAAAGCCGGCTTTCATTTGCAGCCAAACTTGCCTCTTTGCCTTGGAAAGAGAGAGCGTGTGGGGTAGGGCATGCAGGTAGGTCTGGAGCGTGCATGCAGCTGAGCGCCTCTTACTCTAGAGTAAGAAGCACTCGGCTGAAATCACTGATAGGTGTACACGCTTTCTGGGCCTACACGCCATGCCGCACACGCACTCTCTTTCCAAGGAGAGTGTGTGTGTGGCATGGCATGCAGGCAGGTCTGGAGGGTGCATGCAGCTGAGCGCCTCTTATGCTAGAGTAGGAAGCACTCAGCTGAAAGCGCTGATAGGTGCACACGCTTTCTGGGCCTACACGCCATGCCACACACACTCTCTCTTTCCAAGGAGAGTGTGTGTGTGGCATAGTATGCTGGCAGGTCTGGAGCGTGCATGCAGCTGAGTGCCTCTTACTCTAGAGTAAGAAGTACTCAGCTGAAAGCTCTGATAGGTGCACACGCTTTCTGGGCCTACACGCCATGCCACATACACACTCTCTTTCCAAGAAGAGTGTGTGTGTGGCATGGTATGCAGGCAGGTCTGGAGCATGCACGCAGCTGAGTGTCTCTTATGCTAGAGTAAGAAGCACTCAGCTGAAAGCGCTGATATTGCTTTGGAATGTAAAATTAGGATTGAAAAGCACTGATAGGTGCACATGCTCTCTGGGCCTGCACGCCATGCCACACACACTCTCTTTCCAAGGAGAGTGTGTGTGTGGTATGGCGTGCAGGCAGGTCTGGAGCGTGCATGCAGCTGAGCGCCTTTTACTCTAGAGTAACAAACACTCAACTGAAAGCACTGATAGGTGCACACACTTTCTGGGCCTAAACACCATGCCACACATGCACTCTCTTTCCAAGGAGAGTGTGTGTGTGGCATGGCACGCAGGCAGGCACAGAAAGCACAAACGCCTGCTAGTGCCTACAGCGGAGTGCCTTTTACTCTAAAGTAGAAACAGCAGGAGTCAGGTAAGAAGAATGGAAGTGCATGTCAGAAAGGGGAACTAGTAGGTGGGAAGCTCCCTCCCCCAATAATGGTCCAATTTTCAAAGCCAGAAACCGAAAACAAGTATCTATTCTCCTGATTTTGGGAGGCTCCCAAACAATGGATCAGGGCCCCCAACGAAAGCCAGGACACAAAATGGGGCAAGGTTTACCCTGAAAGCACAACTCTACCATACAACCATATAGAATGTAGGCCACACTATACTTCTCTTCCCCCCCCCCCCTCTCTCGACACCTTTCAGTCACTTCTCTTTCTCTTAGACTGTTGGCTATTTATAGCAGAAGGCTTCCTCATATGAGCATCTTGTACTTTGCTGTCCCTCAAGTAATCAAGGGTTCAGCGATAACAAATAGCTGCAAATTGGCACAGGTCCAAGGGAAAGCTATGACAGAAGCCACACCGTCTGCAGCATTGGAAATACCTGTAGATGGGGTTTTGTGTGTGTGTGTTCAAAAATTAAATCCCCAAAGAGGTTCTGGTGAAGTTTGGATTCTTGTTACCCTTAGTTTTATAGTAAACTGTGACATTTATTTAGGTCTCTCCATCTGACCTCTCAAATACAGCTGGTGTTAGCATCCTTGAGTATCTATTGCATAAGGGACTTCATTCACTTTGCCTTCTCCTTTAGGGCAAGCATATGGAGTGACGGCCAAGAGGAAGAGAGCAACAAAAACCATCAATTAGATCTCTTTTTGCTCATTTTAATCTTAAATATACCTTTTGAGTCCATTCTAAGCCTGAAATGTGCATTTTGAGACATGGATAAGAGAACGGTATTGCAGTTTTTGGAGAGGTCTGAAAACTAAACTACATTCTGCTCTGGACGTTGGTTTGAAGTATGGTAATCCTTGGGCATTTTTACAAGGGATTTCCTTTCCTCCTTGTGGCTCTGAGTCATTAGACTCACATAGCTTTGCAAGATCCTGTAAGCTGTCAGATAGTTGATGTACCCCAAATGGGCTGTTGAGTAATTCATCCCTGTTGATAGCTGCAAAAGTAAATATCCACATGGTGTAAATGCAGAGTCCAATAATGTCTCCTTTGTAGCTTTCTTTCTTGGAAAGTAATATGAATATCGCTGCTGCAGGACAAATGCTGAAGTGTGCCAAACACACATGGCACTTCTCTTTTCCACACTGGGTTCTTTTTTAGTTCTTTGACAAAGAATTTGGATGCAAGAGGAAGCAAAAAACAAGTAGGCTGTAACAGTATGAAGCCTCTCCCACAAATTTCCACTATTGAACCAAAATAGTTCTAAACAGAGTGTCCATTGAAGCCATGTCAACATGGGACATATAATTGTTGTACAAATTGTATATATGTTCCCAAAGTACTATTTGAAGACAATAAGACTGCGAGTCTGCCAGAATCCCTGACACAGAGCCTATGCCATTCCAATGGAAAGTGTGATAGCAGTGTAAAACAGCTATAGACACATCCCAAATAGGAAGTGGCATAACTATTTGGAGTCATGGTTTGCTCTGGATACATGGGGACGATTCGGAGCAACTTATGTTAAGTAAAGGTAAATGTTTCCCCTTGACTAGTCTAGTCGTGTCCGACTCCGGGAGTTGGTGCTCATCTCCATTTGTAAGCTGAAGAACCAGTCATGTGGCCGGCATGACTGCATGGAGCGCCAGAGCGGTACCTATTGATCTACTCACATTTGCATGTTTTCGAACTGCTAGGTTGGCAGAAGCTGGGTCCAACAGCGGGAGCTCATCCCGCTTCCCAGATTCGAACCACTGACCTTTTGGTCAGCAAGTTAAACAGCTCAGTCATTTAACCCGCAGAGCCACCAAGGGCTCTATGCATCATGCAACCACCACGGAGCTGGTTCACCCCTCTCAGGATAAAAGGTCTGTGTAGATGAGCCCTGAGAGAGTATCTTGCCTATTTACAAGTTGCCCAAAGACCAGATGGTGTATGGATGCTTCCTGGGAAGCAGGGGTGATACAAACCAATTATTATCATGTGGGAGAAAAACCAATCTTTGTAGGAGATGGTGGGTTGATAGGCCAGGGGTTGCACTGGATATGAAGTCTGCCTTGTGCACGTCAGGCTTGTGTGCCTTTGGTTTAACAACATCTGCAGGGTCTTGCGTATTTCACCCACGCAGCAGAAACGGTTTTGCAAAATAAATGAATCAAGTTCACAGAGCTGTGAGCTTTCAAGGCAGGCTTTGAGTGCCACCAAATCTGTTGCTTCTCTCTTTCTCTGCTTCTCTTGCGTTTTCCTGGCTTCAGCAGCGGTCAGGAGCGAAAGAGCCAGCCGACTGCTGATTTGGCTACAGCTGGCGTTCTTTGAGGGTCAGCAGCCTGAGGCACTGGTGAAGGGGACCCAGCTGCGATCGAGAAACTGCTTTTTCTTCTTTTTCTTCTGGCTGCTTTAGGGCTGGAGGCTACTGAGCAAAAATGCCAATGACTTCGTGCATTTCTGGTCAAAAGACATGTTTTGCTGGGTTTTCCTGTAGCAGGGCATGATTTAATAATTTAATGAAATGCCTTGTATCTTTCACTGCATCATCAGTGGTATGAACTGGCACAGTCAAAGCACCGGGCTATTTGATGCAAAGGGTTGAGGATGCCTCTCTTTCTTAACTACAATCTTGGGGAGACCAACACATAAGCTCAGTAATATTGTACTTGTTGTAGTAAAGCCTGAGGCTCTTGAAGCTGATGGGTTAACTGATGATTTAGAGAGGATTATAGGGTTGCCTGTGGGATTTCCTGGGGCTTGAAATGGGAAGATTCAAGTCAGGAGAATGATGAGAAATCTGATTTGGATAGTGCAGGCCTTCAAAGTCAGACAGAGAAGCCAGAAACTGCAACATTAGCTAAGGAGTTGGACGCTGTTGTAGTATAGCCTGAGGCTCTTGAAGTTGATGGGTTCACTGATGATTTAGAGAGGATTGTGGAATTGCCTGTGGGATTTCCTGGGGCTTGAAGTGGGAAGATTAAAGTCAGGAG